AACCTCAAAATATTTCTCGTACCCAAAACACACAGCCGGACAAGATTTTACAACCACGTTAAAACACTTTCTCTCCATTTTTACCTCCCACTCTACATATTTCCACGACCCGATACACCTCTTACTCTGGGTGTGAATATAACCCCCATAAATTAGCATTAAAGCCCACCCAACAATCATATTGTGAATACAAAACCCTAACACCACCAAACTCACGGGCTCAACGTCTCCCTTTTTTATTTCCGACACTAACAAGTACGACGCCACCACGACAAACTTGACAATAATGGTTTGCACAGGGATCAAATACACGCCGTAAACTTCTCCCACAAATTTCGCCCAGATTTGTAATCCGCGGTACGTATTCGTCAAATTTTTTAAGGCGCCTTCTTCGAATTTTGCCTCTTTTTTTTCTATTACAACGCAAACCCGCGCAAATTTCGGACACCGCCAATGTACTAAAGACCCCATTAAGGCAAAGTATCTGATAAAACGACACCCCGAAAAGGGTCCCGTACGTTACTCCGGCCAAGTAAAAGGGAAACATGACCCAAAAAAGAAAAAGTTCCTGAGGAAAAATACTAACGAGGTGAACGGGATTTGTCGGGGTTAGAGCGCAGTACAAAAATAGTACAATTGGACAAAATACGGACATCACGTTTGTGGCGTGAAACCAAAAAAGTAATTTACTTTCAAATTTCCGAGCTTCTCTGAGCAATTTATTATTTCGTGCTTTCACAGTTTCATAAAACAAGAGGGTCGTGTTCAACTGCGAACTCGCCACGTAGGGTCGATAAGCGTAGGCGGTTATGGTCACGACTAAACAAAGCATTGCGTTGGTGATGGGGATGAGAAAATTTAAATTTGTAAAATCTTCCATAATTTTGAAGCGTATGACTTGACAGAGTAGAAATATGAATTCGATGATTGCTAAGAGGTGGAGAATTATCGTGTTGGCGTGAAAAGTGGGGGAAACAGAGGTCCTGTTTGTTTTAGAGTTCCAGATAAATGGGAGGCCGAAATATTTGGAACGCGTAATAAGTTTCCCGAATCTAGGGTAGAATACTTTCGTAAGCATGACTACAACTTGTGGAGGAAGTCCGATTGGGTGGAAAATAGCGGTGTTCGGAATTTTTCACTTCGATTTCGCCGAAATGCCCAAATTTTAGGAATGAAATGAAACTGAAATTAAATCACAAGTGGTTTCTAGTTTCGTCAAAAGTCCGAAGGAAATTTTTCTAAAATTGAGGTCTTTAAAATTGATTGGAGACTAAAAAGACTCGCTTTACACTAAATATTAGCAAGAACTCTAAACTTCGTATTTCTTAGATATGGTTAGCGAAATATCCATAAAATAAAGACCACATATATATTAAAGTCAAACTGCTGAATAATATTGTAGATACATACATATTTACATACATATATCTATCCTTTGAATACAAAAATTGCGCATGCTAAGGTTTTATAAATAAATTGGGTCTGCTTTTCAGTCGAATGGTCGAACATGATTAGAGAAAGATATTTCGAGTTAATAAAGTTAATTTGACTTAATTCCAATTTTATTTTCAACATTTATACATTGAGAACCTTCCTTTGCTTGCAAACATACATACATATTTAGGTATAATAAATACTTAATCAAAAAATTAATAGTAGGTTAGTACATACAGTGTCGGACAGATGTCTACGTCCACATAGTCGCGTCAATTTCATTTTCAAATTGTCACTGAACTACTGAACCAATTTTCATCATTGATATATCAAATTCTCACAAATTTAACGTAATTTCATAGCACATTATTAGTTTTCCGCTAAAAAATTTATTTTAGGCCAGAGATGTATTTTAATTCAAAATGAAAACAATTGGATGGACAAAAGTCAACGTCCAGTCAGAGAAAACATACAAAAAAAACGTAATTTATAATTTGTAATTTATAAGGAATGTTATAACAATTAATTTTTAATATTTGGTTGGGCCTCCGTTCGCTTTAAGGACGGCTTCAAGGCGTCGAGTCATTGAGTTTACCAAATTCTTGGTCACATCTTCAGAAATGGTTTCCCAAACTTCACGAATTCTGGATTTAAGGCCCGGAATTCCTGAAAAAGATTGTTTTCTTATTTCTCTTTCAATGTGGTCGCACAGATGCTCAATGGGATTCAAGTCTGGAGATTGGGGAGGCCATTCTAGCTTCGGAATTTTTTTTTCTTGAAGTATTCCATGGTGGACTTGGCAGAGTGTTTCGGATCGTTGTCTTGTTGGAAGGCAAATCGTCGTCCAAGTCCAAGTTTTCGAACAGATTCCTGGATATTACGGTCAAGTATTCCCTGGTACTTGTATTGGTCCATAATTCCGTCAATAAATTCCATTTTTCCTGCCCCACTTGAAGCCATGCATCCCCACACCATTACCGACCCGCCGCCGTGCTTAACTGTGGGGTTGAGATTTTTTGGATTCAAAGCTTCTTTTGGATATCTCCACACTCTACGACGCCCATCTGACCCAAAGACATTGAACTTTGACTCGTCAGTCCATAAAATATGTCCCAGAATGTTTGTGGCTTGGAAATGTGGTTTCTGGCAAACTTCACTCGTTTGGTTGCATTCCTCGGTACAATAAGAGGCTTCCGGACTGCTCTGTGGGATTTCAAATTTCCCTTATTCAGTGTTCTTTGGATGGTCATAGGACTAACCTGTTTGCCGAACATCTCCTTGATCTCGGTAGATAGCTTTGGAGCACTAAGTGAGGGTGTAACGTTGACTTTGTTGAGCACGTGGCGTACTTCTCGGTGAGCCAAAATGGGTTTTCGACCACTTCTGACCTTGTTTTGGACTGAACCATTAGCTTTAAAGTTCTTAATGATTGTCTGAATGGTTGTCCTTGCTAATTTATACTTGGTCCATATTTGTCTCTGCGACAGCCCCCTTTTTGTCCACCCTTCCAGTCCTGAATGACAAGATCTCGAATAGCGATAGGAATTTCCTTGCGTGTCGACGCCATCATATTTTTCTGGAAGAAAATTATTTAAAAATTAATGCGGCATATGTTATTGATAGATTTATTAAGTTACCTGATTTTATAAATTGGAGAGATTTTTGTTGTTGACAATTAAAGTGAAGTGGACGTAGACTTTTGTCCGCTCAAATTTCATCCTCTCTCGCTCTGCACTATGATTCTCAGTTTTCCCAGAATTTTCAGAAATAACTCATATGTTTTATGAAATTACGTTAAATTTGTGAGAATTTGATATATCAATGATGAAAATTGGTTCAGTAGTTCAGTGACAATTTGAAAATGAAATTGACGCGACTATGTGGACGTAGACATCTGTCCGACACTGTATATACATATCTACAAAAATTCCAACTTTTCGTACTAGACTTATGTAATTACTTAATACATTATATAAATGCATTAATGCCTAAATCATACCTATCTGTTCTGAGGGTTAATTTCGACTTGCATTTATGTAAAAGTGTTTGATTATTTACAACTTTTTATCATGGTTTCATGGTTAGCATATTTTATACAACCTGAACCAATTTTTTACAAAAGAACAAATTAACCCAGCCTAAAACTAGCTTTGAAATTTCAAACAATAAAATACACGAAAATTATCAAAATATTTTCACAAAGTTTCATTTTCGGAACACGCTGTTACATAAAGTTTTCCCGTAGCAACGTAAATTTCCAACAAAACGTCTGCAATATTTCACCCATCTTACAATAGAAATTCTTACAGTTCCCCATAATTTTACGATATCCCAGATCACCACAATTTCAATTATCAAGCTAACCACGGCCAAAGATATACATAATTACACACATGGAAAGCATCCCTTTCAAATGAATGAGTTGAATGTATGCGATGTCGTCCGTTATCCTAAGTCTTCCCCGATCTCCAAGCGATTTAGAGTGTTTGAACAAAGACTCGGCCATATCGGTCCAAAAAGCGATAAATAAATATAAATGAGTATAAATATGCATAATTAAATCCTTTAGCCGAGTTATTGATTGCCTAAAACTTGAACAACAATACTTATGGAAATTAAATATTTCTGAAACTAAAACGTTCACAAGTAAGACTTTTAAATACTTAAATATATTGGATGTAAGGTATTCCTTGCACGAAAGGCCTCCATGCATACACTCTAAACAAAAATTTGTCAAATCAACACCGCCGGTGTCAATATATGACTTAACCGCCTTGGTTACAATTTTGATTCCGAGTTATGATGATTTTAATACCGGTAGTTATAATGTTATGACCGGACGGAAAAATTTCATTACCACTCGGAATCACAATTGTAACCAAGGCGGTTAAGTCATATATGTATTGACACCGGCGGTGTTGATTTGCCAAATTTTTGTTTTGAGTGTAGTTAATTAAAAATAAAGGCTTTGTATTGAATGAATTGAATGTTCTTTTTTTAATGTAAGTATACTTACTGTATTGTAACTCTTAATGTAATTTATATAGGTGGCTTTATTTTAAATGAGTAAAATACTTATTCATATGTATGAGGATAAACTAGTTCTGTCCGGCTATGCAACCTCGGTGCTTTTTCTGACGTGGAACTTTAGATTGACACTTTACACATCAAAAAATTTTGATGTGCCTCTGCAAAAACTTTTGCACAAAGAAGGTTTAAGATGAAAAGTGGTTCAAAGAATCTCCGCTGTGGGCCTTAAAATATTCGCATTTTGGATATGCTATCTTCACTTCTCATCAGAAAATGGTGAGCAAAACGATGAGAACACTTCAAATATTTAATTACATAAATTATAGATTACAGTCACACTAGACCAAATTTGGCCAATTCGTGGTCAAAAGTTGAATTTCTCGAAACTGGGAAAATTTAGTAGTTACATATGTGTTGGCGTAAATGTACCTCATCCGAGATCCGAGAACTTTTAGGCGAGAAGCAATGGCACTACATATGTGTAAGGTGAACCCGGATAAATTGAGCCATGTTAAAAATAATTATTTCCTCACCAATCCTTTTTATTAATTTAGTTTATTCTTAGGATAGAACTAAATTAACAGAAATATAACTGTGTTGCATTCAAATATATATAAATATGTGAGTAGATGAATAATTAAGGTAAAAGTATCTTGAAATCCATTTTCTTAGCGTTATGCTAATGCATCTTCGATTCCTTGGTTGCTACCTGCAGGTTTTATTATAATTAATTAGTACATATAAACATTTAAAGTCAATGGGGGATTCATTAAGAGTTTGTATGTTATTAAGTAGCGTCAGCTACTTATTGTGATCGTTTTGTCCGTCCGTCTGTCCGTAAGCAGGATATCTCCAGAACGAGTCAACATAATCAAACCCCGTTTTCGCCATTGTGGTTCTAATTTTTAGTTCTCGGTCGAGTTCGAAAATGGGGTCAATCGGACCACACCCTACAGCGCCAGGGGGTGTGGTCAAGATTAAATTTGACTCTAATTTTCATATGTGGTATCATTTTAACGGAAATTTGACGGCGATTTCAAAGATGTTAATATTTTTGACCTCATGACCTTCACGACGAGGTCAAAGGAAAAAATGCATAAATATCATATGGGGTGTCATTTTAAAGGAAATTTTACGGCGATTTCATGGACGTTAATATTTTTGACCTCATGACCCTGAGATCGAGGTCAAGGGCCAAATACATAATTGTCATGGGATATGGGATCATTTTAAAGGAAACTTGGATCGCTCTGACGCTACTTTTTTATATTCGTTTGGAGGGTTTATTTACTTTCAACTTTTACGAACACAATAAATGTTCGAAAAGTATGAAACAAATAATCTTCCAAGCTGCTAAAATTATTTTGTATGCAAAATTAAAGTAGTTTAGTTTATCTTTAGTTTATCTTTGCGAACGCTATCTTGTTTCCGAAATTGTTTTGGTGATACCGTTTTTTGTATACATTAAGTCGTGAATACCCCCAATATTTCCTTTGCAAATCTGTTATTACATTATTTGTTTGACACATCAACTCAACTCATTATTTCTCGAAACTGGAGACCTTTACACTATCCACCATGAGTTTGGAGACGTGACATATTTGGGGAAAGTATCCATGCCGAGTTTCAACAAGATGTCGGACAAAATTTCCCGGATGCTTGGTGAAACCGCAGATCCGCTCAATATTGGTGCATATCTCTTTCCTGAAGGGTCCTAGGAGAAATCCTGACTCAATTTTGCCTTCTCGGAACGCCTTTTCTTGCCCCGGTGTTCTCCCGTTGGATGGGATTATCCCCACAAAATTACAAAATTCCTCAACTTCTGCGGCATCTAGGAAGTACAACGTAGCTGAAAATAAATAAAGCGGTGGGAGGAGATTTCTTGGTAGGCGTATATCCTGACTTGTGTACGGCAGCCATAATTTGTTGGAATCAACCAATGTAGACTGTAATGGAATTAATCTTGGCGCAAATGGGCGCAGGGTCGTTGCTGCTTTCCCTCGTTTGATAAGTGGGATTAGCTCGTTCGCTTCAAACGGACTGATTAGCAAGACCTTAGTCGATTTTGATTTTGTAGTCGTCAGTATCCAATTTGGTGGGCGTATAAATTCGTTCAGCTTATCCTGCTTATTTCCAGATATGATGACAGAAACGAAATCCTTCGTTACATGCCAGGCTAGATTTTTACACCAATTTTCTTTCGGGGGGAGCTGCTCGTACATCGTTGTTTGTTTTAAGGCCTCGTGCAATGGCAAGATTGTTCCCGAGGTTAGGCCAGGTTCTGTGACACCATGGTTTACGAAATGAACGACATCTTTCTCCAATTTATGAGTCGCCGGTTCGGCCGCGGGTGGCCGAATTACTTCTTCTTCTTGTTCCAACTCAACCTCACATTCTTTTTCTTGCTCTTCATCTGATAAGAGGTGACTTACCACGGCTTTGTGTGGGATTAATTCTTTGCACCGGGTGACCAACTCTTGTCCAAAATTTGAGTAAGAAATTGTGTTGCTAATATCAAAACCCATGTGCAAAAATTCATCCCAAATTTCATTCCTTTTCTTTTCGATTACACTTTTTAGTACGTCTATGTAATTAATTTCATCCCGGTGTTTCCCATACATGACTTGTAACGTTTGATACTCCTGGTCGCAGCACATCTCACCCAGTGCAACGTAATTTTCCGGTGACATGCCCACCTGGGCAAAGTTAGTTTCAACCATGCGTTTGTGGGAATAATTAATCCCGGAAGCTGCCCAGTAGATGAGACCATCCTTTTCAAACTCGGCGCTATTATGGCACACCCAACTCATGATATGACTCACTTCCGGACTTTGGGATGGATTTTGGCACAATGCATCTATCCCATTGCGTGCCTCATCACTTACAAAGAAATGGATTGAATGACCATTTCCCAGGAGGCGCATCCGCATGCAGGCTTGCACCATTTTGTCACGTGTCATTCCAGCCGCTATCGTAACACAGGCAACCGACGGGGGCGGAATTTTCAGGTCAGTCCCGCGAGTGTGGACATCATCCAAATAAATCACGCACCGATCCAGTTTGTCAACATAGTAGGAAGTGTGAAATGGTACACTGTCTTCTAAATCTGTGCCAAACTTGACGCGAAGTTCGTCTTTATCGTAGTAGACGGCCGCTTCCTTATCAGAATTTCCACATTGGTGCAACAGTTTGAGCCAGGTTTTGGCAACACCTTCATTATCAAGTTCTAACATTAAGGCGCCAGAGTCTAGAAGGATGGCTATGTTATTATCAATTAATCTGGTTAAGATGGCACGCGCAGTGACTCCTCTCGGGAGAACGGTTACATTATTGTTTTCCTTCCGTAAAATTGTTTCTCGCAATTCTGAATTAGTACTCTGTAGTTGGGGAAGATCTTGCTGGATAATCGGGGCTGGAAGGAGGTTTGAAGTGTCGTTGGTACCGCTAAACCCAGTAACTGGGAGGGTAGCGTCTTCACTGCATAAATCCCATGCGGAGCAGACGAGTTTCTTTTCAAAGGTTCGTGATTCTTTGGGGAATACAATTTTTCCCAAATAAAAGTCAACGACGACCATATTCCGCCGGAGAAATGGAAACAAGTGAGTTTGCTTTTGTTGCACATCCGACAAATTTACCCCACTAAGGTTTTGGATTGATTGGTGAACGAATTCTGGTCGAATCTCCCTTATCCAGGAGGCATACTCCTCTTCCTTATTGGTGACAAAATCCAAGGAGTAGAAGCATTCTTCCAGTTCCTCATCAGACAAGCCGGAATAATAATAACTTAATTGAGTTAGTAAAATTGCAACGTCAGGATGTCCAAATTCGGTCCGCTTTGCAGGAACATCTTTAGCTCTAAAGGGAACAGCCATTTTTCGCTCGCCCTCAACATCGACACCGTAATTGACTCGCCATCTCTTGCTGAGGACGAGGTAAATAATTTCATACTTTAGATATCCCATTAATATTAGGACGGATGTATCATGCGTTGACTTGACAAGTTCCAAAGCTTGATGATGGCGCTCCTCTGAGATTTTGACGTTGGTTAATAAATCCATTAAAAGTTCTCTTTTTCCTGTAGCAATTCGGGTAACTTAATTTTTGGTGATTTCCGATCAAGAATGTCGCTCGCGACTAACTCAATCAATTTTTGATAGCATTCTTTCTTTAGGAGTCGCATGTGGTGGAAAATTTCGGGCTTGGTCTCATCCCACGAGGATACATCAACAAAGGAATCGCCAAATTGTTTCTGCAAATCTAGCATTCTGGCCTGGAGTATTTTCAGCACACTTTGTGCAACCTCCCACCTTTGTGCGCCCCCATCGACGGAAAGTTGAGAGCCTAAAGTGTAAATAAGTTGATATTTGGCGTGCAGTATCTCGTCAGATTCATCCAGAACATCGCGAACATTTTCATTAACCCAAGTTCTTTGGTTTATAAGTGGTGTCGCGTCCTCAATTAATCGCGCCCGACACTTTTCGTACCCTTTGAGTTGGAAGGATAACCGATGTTCTGGAATAGTCATGATTGCTCCCCTCTTACAGCGACATTCAGCATACAATTCCATCATTTTGATCCCTGTGTCTCCCGTAATGTTAAAATCTCTTTGGCATGGGAATGTATATATTCTCCGATTTAGTAATCCTCCCAATGAGAACATCAGAGACGTCATGTTTGTCTTGAATAAGGACTTAAGCACTGTTATCCTACAAATTTGTTCATAGTTTGATAAATTGAGAACCAGCAAGGGAACAATCACAGCTGTCTTTCCTTCGCCCATGTTGAGCTGCATCACGCTGTGTACATCACCAGGTGGGGCAATCATTTGTTTCGCAACGTTAATTTGCATGGGCCGAATGGAAATGTTGGACTCAATTTCGAAAATAAGCCATTCTGGAAATTCAGCCGGACTCCAATTTGAATGTGGTCGATTTTCTCGCTCTCTATGTAGCGGGACAATACCCGAGGGGCCCATTTCGTGGAATTTTATACACCGGCTAGCACGCTGTTCCAATGTAAATAATACTCCGTAAGCTCCAATCAACATCGTTGTGAAACCAGTTTGATTCGATTTCATAAGTCGTTTCAATAGCGACGTAGGATTTAGTCGATAAAGGTCACTGTATATCAGACCGTGTGTATCGCTGTGAGCTAAACAATCCTTGATTAGTTGTAGAATATTATTGCGCTGGTCTTGATAAAACGTTTGTTCTTTCCGGAAATAATAAAGCAGTTCTTGATCTGACAAGTTCTCTTCATTCGCTGAGGCCGTTAGAAATCCCTCTTCAAAAATTTTTTTGGCTATAGCTTCTTGGGGCGATGGAAGAAGTTTTAACTGTGAAGTTTTTTTGGGTGCATGCAAAATTTTACTTTTAACTGCTGGGTTAAAGTCCATCACAAATTTTTCCTTTAAAGAGAAAATCCGGAGGGATTCTGATAATTGAGGCAAACTTGTTGCAAAATGGAGGAATTCAAGCCTTTGGAGGATGATGCCGGTAAGACAGCCATTGTTTGCTCAATTTTGAGTATAAATTGTTTAAGCTCCGAATTTTTATTCCAGTCTGGTAAATGCCTGTTGATTTCATCAATTACCTTGATCAAGCTGAACTCATTAGCTGGATTAGTCACGCCCTCAAAATTGCTTACGCTATACGATTTAACGGGCCATAAGACTTTGGCAAGTGATAAGACGATATCCAGACTATCTCTTGGGACACCCTTGGCTAAAATATTCTTAACTACTGTATCGCTAAAGAAATTATTTGGTGCGGAAAACAACTCGTAGTTAAGAGGATCTTGTGCTTGAAAAAATATTCTGTGGACAGCCACAGTTTGCAGGAGGAATAATTGGTTAACGTCATCGAGCCCACGAAAACCTAAAACTGAAAGAAGTATTGTCCACTCAGATTTCAAATTTTGCTTCATTGCCATTCTGCCAAGTTCATAGAGATTAAACCAATTTTGACGTAGGTCCAATCCCTGTAGTTCAACTATGCTCATTTGTGTTAGAATTGTTGGATTGGTGAGGCCCTGAAGATCATTGCTGGTTATTAGAAAGCCGGCTAATATGCTACTGTTTGTCCTCCTATGATTCCAGCAATGTCCAAGTTCTGATATTTCCTTAACGTTATCACAAAGTGTCATAGAATGGCTCCATGATCTATAAGTTGATATCGTATTGGTCGTGGTTGAGGTAAGGTTAATCAGAGCAGATGAAATTTTTCCTTCGTCCGATATCAATGATTGGTATCGCAAGTATGCTCGACGGCATAAATCTAAACTTGTGCTATCTTTCACCTTTGCCGTGTCTTGAATTTTAGGAGTGTTAGTGTTAAATAGAACTTCCAAACGACTACTATCATGTATTAACTTTTCTACAATGAATCTGTATGCATCTTGTGAGGCTGAGCCTGGTAACCCAATCGGCCACTTTGTAACTTCCATTTTTTTCATTTTGATAGGATAATACTGGCGAATGGGAGATAATTCCTTGATGGCCTCAAGGATGACATATGATTCCTTATTTTCATACGGTTTGCACGACCAACATCTCCCCGACTGTAGTATTTGCATAGCAGATTCGGTTCCGGTAATCTCGGTGAAAGGATCCGCTAATGGAGATGCTGTAAGTGCATGAAGATAGGCCAAGTACAACCATGCCGTATGTGTATTGTCGGCTTTCAATTGTTGAAGTCGGTGATCCATCAATCGCGAATACAGGTGGTCTCTTAATTTTTTCTAAATTTATCTTGACCTCTTGATTCTTATGTGGCTCATATTTCGTCGAAATTTCTAATTCACCGTGAGGAATTAAAAGTTTCTTGTCGCCGTAATTATCGCTTAGAAGCAGAACCATTTTGAAGAGATATTAATGTACCAAAGCTCTGATTTGCACAAACTTGCATTCCGTACTCCTTGTTCATCAAGTGGCCCGAGTTCTCGTCGAAGTAGAAAGTTAACCTCCTTCGAGGCAGGTCAACTCTAACTTTTCCTCGCGATTCAAGCAAGACATGAACAAAGTCAGGATGCTCCAACCGGGAGAGATATTTTCTAATGGAAAAATATGACTTAGAGCCAACGGAAAAGATTGCATTTCCAGTTGACATCTCGACAAGTAACTGGTTCTCAAGACAAAACTTATATTTTGGTTTGGCTGTTGCAAAATTTATAAATTTTACGGGTCGAAATTCTATGTAGTTTTCTTTTATATTTAACCAATGACTGAATTCCTCTTGGAGCAAACGAGGAATTAAGTTTTTGAGACTTTCTGGTGCAACTAATTGATATTCGTCGACGATTGACTCCATGAAATTTGAAATTTTGTCCCTCTGTATCCTGTTAACTTTTTGTATATCGCGAGTCCTTCTTTCTCTAATGATCAACGTTTTATTGTCATCGTTCAACAAGGTGAATCTGTAGTCGGCCTTATCATATTGATTTCTCGTGACATATGTGTTCTCGTCCTGGGTTGGATATACCTCAAAAACGATGTCGGTAAAAGTTCGTGAAAATATAGGATGATGTGTTACCTTTTCTGGTAACCAGCCAACTGGTAGCCCATTAACTAGAAATGATCCCCCTAGAACGTCAACCTCCAGGTGGGCGGTAGCTTTATTCTCCGGGCGAAACGTTGCCTGATAGATATGGGGGATTATGGGGTGGTTGTCGTAGGGCAGCCACATTGAAATCTCTCCATAAATCCCTTCGTTCCAATTTTTGTGTACAAATTTGTTCAATCCTTTTATAAATGTGGCTAATTTTACTTGAATATTCATCCCAATAGTTCGTTGAACTAAGTTAAGAAGTAACCTTTTCGTGTGAGAAAGTGTTGTGGATGGAGTAATTGTGTTGTGAATCCTTGTCATGGCGTGGACCCAGACAAATAAGTCGTCCTCCGAATATAAAACTTGGTCCAAATATTCCATTGACACGGAAAAAGTCAAGCAAATACAAATACAAGCATCGACTAGTTTTAATTTTAAATGTTGAACTTGAGCCACCGGGCTAGTGCACGAATCGCTAATCATACTTTCGATTTTGGAAATCCATTGAAATGCAGTTTTTCTACATTTAAGCAGTAATTTTGTCGCCATTTCTGGATACTGTCCAAATTCAAGGACTCTACACGTCAGAATTATGAGGCATAAGATGGTGTAGGGTTCATCCCAATTTTCTTGATGGGAATCCAGTTGTATATTCAATTCCTGCAGGAACTCCTCCGTAAATCCAAGATTTGCGAAGGATTCGTGTGCCTCTCGATGCCAATCATTACTTGCCGGTCCAGCCTCCCACAAAGCTTGAGAAATCAAGAGGAAAACTGACTCTTCCCGAAATGAAAGCGTCTTTTGTATCATTGCCCGAAAAATGTTGCGCAATTGAAGGCGATGTCCAGCTCGAAGTGTTCCAAATTCCTTGAATTCTACCAACCTTAACTTCCCAGGACAGTCAACTTGTCTCGCAAGGACTTGATTTTGTGTGTGTCTCGTGGATTCCAGAGTCCACTGGAGGTTAGAGTACAGCGAGTCTGGGGAAAGTCCAAACGTCGTGAATTTCTTAACGTCCCAATTTTTTTCATAGTTTCCAGAAAATGTGCAATTGTATCCGTTATTGACGATAAATAAGTCATCGGGTTTGTCCGGATGTTGAGATCTGTAATGACTGTCGACAAATAGTTTAGTTGTACTACCAAGCTTGAATGAAGACAGGGCTGAACTCCCATTCGTGTGTTTCTTTAATTTTTTATAATTTGGCCAGATTCCCATGATTTTATACGGTTTCTCTTTGGTTTGACAAATTTTGGACAACAGGAGAATGATGGTGTCTCGAAGACATGCAATCTCCGGAGGATCTCAAATACGGCTGCGATTTGATAATGTGGTTCGTTTTTTAACGGCCGCTCGTAAACTTGTACTGAAAGTTCCTGCAAGATTTCAAGGGTTGTATGATATCCGCAACTTCGAATAATGTTCTGATGGGCACAATTGCATCGAAGGCTTGCCATTTTCTGACGCAAATCTTTACAAACTTTCCTGGCATTCTTCAGCTCGCCTAATTTTCCGAGAATTTTGTGCTCCGCATCTAATAATATTTTATCCCTTAAATTGCACATTTCTTGATTTTGAGTTCCATATCGGACTGAAAATGACGCTATTGTGATTACGTCTTCTTCCGTCAAGGCGGGATTTGTTCCCGCAGAATTTCTCTAGTTAAAGTAACATTCTAAACTGTATGCTATTTCCATATCATTTTTTAATGGGAGGAGAAGTTGTTCAAAAATTTTGGTGTCGATACCACTTCTATGCTCCATTAACATTGAAAAATTTTTCACTGCGATTTGATGTAATACTTGAACGATTTTTAAGAAAGCTAGGATCATTCTGCTTGCACCAACGGGATTGGTCTTGTAGTGCTCGGGAGCTAGAGAGCTGTAATCCAGGGCCAATGTTCGAAGTTCAAGAACGAATTTGGAATGAATTGCGTAACGATCAATATGGTTAAATATCCAGGATTCCACATCATATAGGTAAAAGCCACGATTTTCTTCAGAAGCTCCCAAAATGGGTTTAATCCGTGGGATGTGAACTGAGGTGAGGTCCACCCGTGGAGGAAAAGTTAGCGGTTCGTGGAAATTCAATAATCCCGTGGAGACTGGAACTACAGGAATTTTTGGTAGAGTTTTATGAATCGTGTCATCTTTGTCAATTTTGATTTCTTCCAGAATGACCTTTAGAGTGTTGACGATCTTAAGTTTGAGAAGTTGTAGCTTAAATTGTTTACACGTCATGGATGTTTCTTGAAGAATCTTTGTCGTAAACGTAGGAATTTGTGTATTTAAAACCTGTATCTTTTTCACCCGTCTGGCCAACTTTTTCATCATGTGAATTCCAATATCGGCATCAAATCCCAAATTATTCGTTAGTTCGCAAATTTGTCGCATAAATTCAGCTATAATTGTCTTGTAAAGAAATGTCCCTTGTTCTCGCGACGACGCGTTTTTGACCAGGCTCAGTTGCAAGATTACCTTCGCGTTCATCCACATTCCCGAACGTCTCCACGGAATGAAAGAATTGTTCCAGGAAACCGTGTCTCGTACTTTTTTGCAAATTCGGGGAAATTCTTTGTTCGATGTGATGCTTGAATTTGCGTCAGACAAGAGAGCCGTAAGCCATCCGGAGACGTATTTCGTGTCACATACCTCACGAACTTCGACGATTTCGGTTCCCGCCTTTTTTGAAGTTCCCATGGCGTAGGGGAGAGTTTCATTGGTTAGTGTTATGATCTGTCTCGCCAGGGCCAAGGAAGAGAGGATGTCGGAGTTTGGAATTATGATGGACTGCTCGGGGTATGCGGTAACAACTTCACCGTGACACGTGGACATGATCACGTCAGATTTCAAGGAGGCGGGGAAGGTTGATAGGATTGTTTTGTTGGAAGCGTCGGTGCAGATTAGTATTCCAGCATTTTGGGCTCGTATATAATATCCAAACATTCTTGTCTTGGAGCCTTGCAGTATTGGAAGTCCTACAAGTATAAGATACGAGTTTAAACGGGTGCTCTGACAAGGTTGGTAAGCGGGACTTATTGTGACTGTTTTTTAGTTCAAATCGGCATATTTTTTTGAATTGCCTATGACTTTTGACGTAAAATATTTTAAGCTTCAAGTTTTAATTTAAATTGTTTGGAAAACGGACTTTCGTAATTTTGACAAAATTGTAATGGTGAACAAACTAATAACAATAAATGCTCGTAAAAACACTTGGCGGATTTTACATAAAGAGCTTCCCATGCAAATAATAAAAGATTATTTTCATTCTCGTGGTTTAAGATATTATAAAGTTTTCTGCTGAATTGGAATATTCAAACATCTTTCGTTTCATATTTCTAAATGAAGTTATACTTACCTCCATATTCTAAACTGATTAGTGCTTATATACATATTCTGATAATTTTCGCATCTATTTAGCACACACAAAACCTTTGCAAGATGTTTCACCGTAGCAATACGGAATTTTACCAACTATGGCTTCTGCATATTTGATTGCATTAAGCTGTGAAATTTCAAACAACAGACATATCGTTAATCAGAAAACTACAGATACATACCATTTTTCAGCTTTCGTAACGAATTTGAAATATTCTCTGGATTTTGGACACGTTGATTTTCACTCCAGGTTTCGAACAACTTCCTCGTGTCAATGGGAATATAGTTGGCGTAGTCGGATGAATTAAGAACGGATGATAACAGATTCAAAATATTGGCCTCGTCCTGGATTAAAGATGGTGATTCTTGACCGGGTAATTTACGTGGGAGGAAAACATGGTCAACAATTTGGTGTAAGTCAGCCTCTGACAAATGCGTCGTTACCTCCGGAACCATTTTAGCCGTTGTTTGTATCACTGTAAAATACGATATCACATTTTCATGTTCGAAACATAATTTAAAATCTAAATTATTTGCCCGATACGAGACATGGTATTGATTTTTTACCAGCTTCCGTGGGGGAGCTTATCACTAACAGAATGATAGATTTTGATACCCTTCAGATCAGTGTTTCTGCTGTTAAATAACACGTGCACGCAATTAGTGCACAAAAATTGGTTTTATGCATTTAAGAACATGTGTCAACAATCCGGAGACGTGCATTAAAATGAACGAAAATGCATGCCTGTAAATTATTTTAGCGTAAATATGGTAGTGAACTGGTGTAAAAATGTCGATATCTGGAAAATAGCATACCAAGTTTACGGAGAATTTACGATGACAAAGTAGCGAGACATATCAAAACCTGTCATTCTGTCAGTAAGGAGCTCTCTTCCTTAATTTTGCAACGATATCATTCTTGCCAAAACGAGATGAATATTTGTTACGGACACCAAATTGAGACAATACGATTTCCAGAGACATGACCATGTCATTTGGTCTAATTAATACTTATCACGTTACATTCACGCATGTATGTATGTATGGATGCAGTATTTCGCGTAATGAAATGTGACATATACATACCTACATGCATACTTAAAAAGTTTATCACTACATGCATAAATACATATTTACATATGTATGTAACTCGTATACATACATTAACAATGCGGAAGCAAATCATGTTCTACCCCGTCTATTTTTTAACCGACTCAATTTGAAGGACAACACTTTAGAAATAACATTTGGAGCTACACTTGCGCAGATTCGCAAAATTCAGAGCCTTATGGGCGTCGCATGTTCGCGAAAACGCTTGGTCGTCGAACGCAACCCATTTGTTGCGTCGCGGCAGCAGCTCGACCTTTTCTCGCATTGATTCCTAGTGAAAAACTGAGCGTTTTCCCGGAATTTGCAGGATTTTGCGCATCTGTGCAAGTGCAAACTAGATACTAAGTATGGTAAAAAATAATAATCCGGGTTGAGCATGGGTTGCGTCCCAATTGTAAGCATACCTGGTTTTATAGACAATTTGGAGAAATCTGCCATCTCTGTGGAATGGGGCGTCCACGCCCTCTGGCTACCTGCACACTGGTCAAAATAAAATTTTAACTCTCATGCTAGACCTCGACCTATCTATTTACTATAACTGTTTACAGAAATTTAATACCTTCTTGATACAATTTAAATTTACGTAAATCAGAAAGATGTGTAAATTTTGATATTAATACAATTTCTGTTTTTATGAATTACTTTCGCTTATGATGCTACTTGCCCAACACCAGATAAAGCAATGACCACTCGAACTTGTGGAGGTTCATACACCCGACTTTCAACAATTACATAATTTTATCGATGATACGTTTTTCGCAATTGCAAAGAATGGAGTGACGTATGTACACTCCAGACTCGAAAAGGGTTCAAGTGGTGAGCTGCATGATTGATAAGATGAATTTGTCACTATTGTCACGACTGAACCCTTCTCGTATGCTGATTTAGTTAAATCGTTTATTGAAAATATAATCTCAGCTGATCTTATCGTGTTATGCAAATGATTAATTGCCTTGCGAATTGGTCTCTTCGATTTATTGAGAAAACGTTGCCAATTAAAAGTGTGGTTTATACGTAAATATGATATAAATATTTAATCAGAAACGTTTCATGAAATATGTAACGTCCCTGCTTGAATTACTCCCGTGGGTCAAATCACCCAGGCAACATTACATATGTTTGTCAAATGTTACCTTGGAACCTTTGTGTATAAAATGCATACTCCAGTATGGGTGGAATTTTTATTCGCCAAATGTAATTTTTTATTGCGATTTTTTTTGCAAAAACCCTTTTCGCTAAACCGACCGACTTCCATCTTTATATGCATATGATAAGCTCACATTTGCATTAAAATAAGTATAACGACTTTTAAAAAATGTATATCAACTGAACAATTACATAAAGTAAAACATGCGGAAAAATTGCACATTCGCTTTTGTATTTATAGATTGCTCATCTATTGTCTCGCCCATTTTACCCTTTCCTTTGTGTATTGTTCTCCCGGAGAACAATAAAGAAACGGGAAAACTTCTCCCTTTTCGTTATGCCCTCGTTACCATGGGGACGAGGTGCACTACACACGTGGATTTAGGGTGACAAAAGCAATAGATCACATGATGATGAGTAGTGTTCTTCCCGAGCTCACTTTCTCCACACGCTGAAAAGCATCACGTACCGTGTAGGGTAACTAAACCTTTGTAAAATTGTGTTTAATACATTAGCATTAAATTTGACAAGGCCTAATTAATTGAGAGTTCACGATTTACATATGTAGATACGGAACGTAATAACGGAGTATATGACAACAAAAGTGGAAACTGAGATAACGACATATTTACATAATTCAGTTCATATTTAACACTAAATCTCATGGTTAAATTCATACTTATATTATGTAAGTTACATATGTATAGATGTGCAACGCTTGTGTAGTTCGGTACATGTACATATGTATTTCTGATTGAATAGCAGTGCATACATATATGTAAGAGCATATATACTTTTAAAGTCACGATTTACATATTTAACACAATCATGCAAATATCAATCAAGGAACTCATCAAAGAGTTGGCCACGATAAGGTCACTAATTCTCTTTATCTGTATCCTCGTCCTTATAAAAATTCGCGACTACTCGTCCCACTTGACTTACCTGGATGGAAACGAAGTCACGGCTAAAGTGGGATTTCGTGTAAAATTTATACCATACATACATATTTTAACTTCCTTTGACATACTCTAAATAATGTTGTGTAAAATTTACTCAAAGTTGAACAAAAGAGAGGACGACGCAACAATTGTGTAAAGTTTATGCAGCATTGTATAAAATTTTAGACAATGTGTTACTTATTGTTATGTAATCCTCAATTTTTCTCAACCTTAAGTAAATTTTACACAAGTTTACTTAGAGTGTAACTAAATATTTAATTTTTTCCCTTAATTTAAATATATCTCTCATCCTCAGATAATGAAACGAAGTACCCAACTTGCCCTTGGCGTGTACCCTGGCCACAGTAAAATCTTGGACAACATAGAATATTTGGACGAAAAATTGGATCACTTCATCGGGACGAACATTCCATATCAAATGTTAATGCTAGGCTTCGTATTTAACGAGACTAGAGTTCGGGCAAGAAGAGTTTTGGGACAAGGACCATTTTTCGATAAGCAAGGTGTCGACATTGGCAGACTTATTGCCCGTTTGCGAATTGAGGTAATAACAATTACATAAATGTGAACTCAAATTTCCATAAAATTTATTATTGGAAATTTATAGTGCGAAAAATTCTGGGAAACCTACTACTGGGAAGAGTATGCTTGGAATCGTGACTACATAGACAACATTTGGCACCTGGATCAAAATAAAATCCGGTATTACATGCAGTTGAATGATATCGCGGTAATTTAATTATAAAATTTAAATAATTCCGATTTTGAAAATTTATGCCAAAAAATCCTACATATTTTGCTAAAAAAATATTTAAGACACAAAATTTCTATAATTTTGCAAAATTTTGTAAAATACTTGCAGTCTGAATCATTCGAGAAATCGATGAAAACTGTGAACGACGCGATGGCAAAAAGACATTGGCAAGTTCTCTTAGAACTCGTCGACCTGGCCGGATCGCCGACAGAAGATGAAAAGAAGGCTGGATTTGAAGCCAAGAAACTCTATTCAAAGGACGAAAATGACAAAAACTTTTATAAACATGAGTTTTTCTGGGTGTACGAAAAAATCTTTAAAGTTGATTGTTACTTTGAGAGAAAGGATGCTATCCCTTATTCCCTTATGGGCAAGTGGGACTGGGGATTTGGTCACGGGGGGCTTAACAGTGGGATGGAGAAATAAATATGTAAGTAGGCTAATTTTTATACAGGATTTTATACATATTTGCAAAACTAATTTTATGAAAGAATAATGATAAGCTGATTGAGCTCGTTAGTACTTTTTCTTGCAGTAAAAGTCAGAACATAAGTACGTACATACAAATTTAGATATATCGTTTTTTGTACACATGTTGCTATTTTTTCTATAGGTACGTAGATATGTATGTTGCTGACAATGACGATAAAATATATTTTACCATTAATACCTTGTTTCTGGCAGAAACTTTCTGCCTCAATTTTCCATTTATTTACAATACACCGTATTATATAGTATATTACTTTGATAGGTATTACATACATACATAGGTAGGAAAATTCCAATAGTGTTCGTACGTTACATAGTAAATTTATTATATGTATAAATACATGCTAACTTAAATTAGTAATGATAAATTTGTATTTTGGTATGCATGCTTCTGTTTATACATATGTACATATGCACATATATTCGTCTTGGGTGAAGCTATGATGAAGAACAAATTTAATAGAAATAATTTTGAGTTTTGAAATTTAGGCTTTAATTTTTCCAACATAACATGTTGGAAAAATATTCCGGGCTGCTAAATACCTTAAGCAGTTCTAAAATTCGAAAGAAAATCAGACTTTGTGAAACCGTCGGAAAATAAATCACTAAGGTTGTTAGAATGTAAGGTTCCACCCATTTATGTAATTATTAGCTCACATATTCTTTGAAAAAAACTGTCAAATAATTCGCTCAGAGTCTAAAGTAATTATTTAATAAGTATATCTGAATATTGTCAATTCGTATTTGTACACAAATATGTTTGTATTTATTCTAAGGCGAGACCCAACCGTAACCATGCACCCAAAAAAATACGCGCATGGTTACGGCGAAGCCATAGTATGCAGTTAAGTGCCCACCTCAAAACAGTCAGACAAGATTGTGAGAGAACCGTACGTCGTAGAGACATGCGGTTTCGACCAATGGGTAGTAAATTCTTTGTAGTATTACGGATTTATCTCTGGGCTTAATCGGTTCATACCTTCATGGCGTATTTCTCGTTTTACTGACTTTTTTTTCTGTATCTCAAAATATCCGGCTGAAAGTGAAAAATCGGCTCAGGGAAATCGAAAAGGCTGAAACAATTATTAAGATCATTCTTTAGGGTCATGAAAATCGGATGCAAAATGACGAAGTTATGGAGGTTTGAAATTTTTAAAATTCAGTTACATCCATAGCAACTATAGTAAAGAACTTCTTTATATGTATGGGTAAATTATGACCCGAGCTAGGGCTTATATAATCGTCACGTCCGTCTGTCTGTAAATTTGTAATGGCTCGTAATGGAACAATATGAATTAAGTAAAATCGGAAACATATTCATCTGGAGGGACCCGAAAGGATTTATTTTAATCGTCGTATCGAACCGCAATTTGTTACATATGCTGTCAATTGCTACTAATGTAAGAATGTGAATTTAAATTAGAACCATTAGTTTTTATTTAAAAAAATATTGATATGCATTTATGAAAAAATTTCGTGCAAAACTTCGGATTGGGTGATAATTGCAACCTTTTCTTGACTCGGGCACTGCCTGATCAAGTCTGCACTGTAGGTTTTTACTGACGGAGTTAAAAAATTGTTCACTTAAAAACGACGAAATAAATGAATGTAAAAAAATAAAACTAAGGCGAGAGGCGCTATTAGAAACAAGCCCTCCCACCAACACCCCCGTCTCGCCGTGGCCCCATTAATATTTTTATATCTGGGGGGTGGTACCACAATTTATGATTCAAACCTTTAACTACTAACGTAAACTGCATTTAAAATTGATATATAGTACAATCTTATATTGCACTGCACTTTTAAAACCTATTACCTGTAGTTCTTACATTAATTTCAATTTAAACATGCAGTCTAGCATTAATCAACAGAGTCCGGATAAATATATTCTTATAAACCCCGAAACATTTATCTAAAATGTTTAATAAAAGCGACAAATATGTATAAAAAGATTTTTTAATTAAAGATTTTTGATTAAAGAAAATGTATATAATAGAACCAAGATAATAAAGTTTCAAGTCAATCGGTATTGTTGTTGAAAAAGTTTGGAAAAAATGAAATATTTACTTCTTAAACCCGACTTTTAACGTAGGCAATCATGTGATTAAATACATTCCAAATTTCCATTCAGAAATTTCAGAATTGAGCTAGCTGCTCTGGTAAACGAGTTAAATAAATAAGCTTTTGTAGTCTGATTTTCGACATTTGTATGACAATTTTTTGACACTTTCATGAAAATAACATGCACTCATGTTGGCATATATATCACATTATTGGTTTTTTAAATTGTGTATAATGCAGGAAAGAATTTCAAAAAATAAAATTGTGGTACCACCCCCCAGATATAAAAAAATTAATGGGGCCACGGCGAGACGGGGGTGTTGGTGGGAGGGCTTGTTTCTTGTTTCTAATATCGCCTCTCGCCTTAGTTTTATTTTTTTACATTCATTTATGTATATATGTAAATACATAAAGATTGAGATTATTTAACATGCATCCATTTTTTTCGTTGCAAACAAAGCAAATCCGTACGATGACACTGAAGTGATACATATGTGTATTGTTCCAAAGTACTTACTTAATCCTTCATTCACAGTGGAACCACCTATTTACATAATTGGTATATGTACATACATATACATATGTGTACATATGTGTGTATGTAGGTAGCATAAATGTGCAACATATCTGGTCTGCATGTATGTGCATCGCATATTTTTACACTGATTATCTGTATTTTCCTCTGGTGATGAACACAGTTGAATTGGCATGCCTATACATACGTAATTTTACCCGCACGTTGTACAGATTCCAGGAAAATCTGTCTAACACGGTCAGCATATCTAAGTGTTCAGTTTTACCCTTGACGTGACACTGTCTTGACCTTGACCAAGGTCAGGGTGAAGTTGAAGTTTACGTAATTTGCTACAGTAATCAGTTACATTAGAAGAGCCATGGCGAAACTTTCTCTCCTTGTCCTGACTTCGGCTTCGTTAATGATAAAGCAATATGCCGAGCAGTACCGGAAAGGCGACTTGGATATGACTCTGACAGAGCTGGAACCAGATTTGAGTCTCCCAAGGATAAAAACGTACGACTTCATCATCGGTAAGCTCAACTATTTGCATACATACGTAGGCAGGGGTATTATGTATTTATGTAAGTACTTATTGTTGATTCCAAAAATTAAACTTGGCATAAAAATTTAATCTGCGACGAATTATTTCAATTAAGCGACGTTAGAATCTGCACAACAATTTCCATAAGCCAAAGTCCAATACTATTAGCACCAAATATCCGTACTGGATATGTTCATAATACTTATATGTTGAGCTTATACAGTTTGCTGGGGTATTACTAGGGTAACTTTCGAAAATCGCTGCAGAAACCGTCAAGATTATGTAAATACGCATGCAAATTCCCTAATTGTTTTATTTATATTTAAGTCTATTATTTATATTTGTGTATTTTCATTTCTACTCAACTTACCCTTGGAGGTTAATCTCTCGACACTCGACAAGCACATTTGTGTAACTAATAAATAGTAACGATATTTACATATTTCAAATTCTGCTGAAGTCACACATATTTGTACAATTGACACCGACTGGTAATAATCTCTTACAAAATTATTTATTGCCTACAATGCGCATTGTGACCATTGCAATGCTCACCTAAGTATGTAACCATGTATGTACATACATACTTAAATACGTATGCACATATATGGATACATTTATTATCGCTACACGTGTGTATGCCAACTGAAAATACAAGTCAAGTATTTGCTGAAAACCCCTTATTTTTATTAATTAAAATATCTAATCAGTTTCATTCAATTAGATAGTTTTCAATTTTATGTACCAATGTAAGCTTAACACGCTTAAGTGGACGTACGCATAACAACGCGCTTACATATTCCGCATAACGATACTGTTTGCGAAATATTCTAGCGAAATAACCAAGTGTCCCGTTACTAGGTAAATTTTTATTACGTTTCCCAAAAAAGATTTGCCAAATGTCTCAGATTTAGAAAACGATATGTTTATTACATTACACACATCTCGGCACGGCACTCTATTACGATAACTGTTCTAGGGTATGAACTCGACAGTGTTGGACCAATTCGTTAAAAGTGATAAGTTTCTTCAGACAGAAGTAACATTCGTGCCTCGCTGCAATGTGACGTAGTTTGTGTCTTGCCAAATTGGATTTCGCGTGGCTCTTGTACTCGCATTTGTCGCAGGAATGGGTCAGCTCTATATTCGTGACATGTCTCGCCTCCACGTGACGCTTCAAGTTTCCTTTGTTGGGGAATCTCTTGTCGCAAAACTCGCACAGATGATTCCTCCGATTTTCATGCACAACTCGAATGTGGTGTTTTAGACCAAATCCACTAAAGAAGGTCTGAGGACAAACGTTACACTGTAACCTGTCTCGGGTAGATTTGTGCAAGTGCGTATTCTGTAAAATGAACGTGCACATTGATAATTTTTCACATCTAGCTTTTCCAACAATGTGCTTATTTACCTCGTGACGTTGTTTGGTTCCCCTCTGGGCGAAACACCTCCCACAAGTGGCACACTTGTAAGTCTTCTCGGTCGTGTGGGTTGAAATGTGTTGGTTAAGTTCAGTCCTAGTTTTGAATTCTTTCGCGCAAAGCGTGCACGGAAATCGGAACGGATTCTCGGCATGTTCATTTTGCACGTGTTGCCAAAGACCACGGCTGTGTTTGTAGGTTTTCTCACATCCAGGATATTGACATGGGAAACGACATCGTTCACTCGTGCCGTAGATGGTTTCAATATGATTCTGTAAAGTGAAGGAGTCATAAAACACGCGGTGACAAATATTTCAACTTACAATGGAGGTCTCCCAACGGATGTTCACAGACTTTGACCGAACTATCGTGATCAAATATAATTAGTATGAAATTTGCGAATGGCACTATCTGCCAATGCGCAGGTTTGGCGGGGATATTTGCATCCAAAGCGGGAAAAATGTGTAGCAAATTTGGAAAATGAAAAATTTGCCAGCCTTGAGGGTACGTGTTGACCTCTTTGGATGCAAATATATCCGCTAAACCTGCGCATTGGCAGATAGTGCGATTCGCAAATTTCATACTAATTATATTTTTGATAGATTGACGCTATAATTTGGTCCAAATCCGTGAGCATACGTTAGGAGACCTCCATTGTTAGTCGATTCCGATTGGAGTCTCCTCACGTGGGAAGATAATGTGACTCTGTTTTTGGAACTTATGCCACCAACCTGGACAAGACATAAGTGGGAACATATGTATGACTTGTAAAGTTAGTTTCACTTTTACCAGCGTACACACTCACCTCACCTCACATTTGACCTTAGCGTCGGGATCGTGCGTTACCACGTGCCTAGTCAATGCGCTGTCTGTTTTAAACGTTATTGTGCATTTTGAACATTCACATTTGTTTTCTAGCTTCAGATCCATATGGATTAGGTATTTGATGAGTTTATGGATTTATGTACTCCTCATTTTAAACTTTCCATCCACCCAAAAGAGCTATGGGGCGAGCACGTCGACGTAAAAAAAGGCGTCCAGGCACGCCGTGAAAAAAATATATTAGCCGAGTCAGCCGAATTATCCTATTATTTAACACCAGTTTATTTTATTTTGGCGTTCAAATTATTCAATTCGTGTCAAGAATTTGGGTAATCGAATGACTTCTACGTCAAAATAAAATAAACTAGTGTTAAGTAATAGGATGATTCGGCTGACTCGGCCAACATATTTTTTGGACGTCGACGTGTTCGCCCCAAAGCTCTGTTGGGTGGATGTAAAGTTTAAAATGAGGAGTATATGTACATATACGCAAAAAATTGATGTGCTTGGGCAAATTTATTTTGGTATCTGTAAGAAAAAAATCTCTAGTATTTCAGAAATTTTGTGCAGCAATTCACACATTTTCAAAAGACTGATGAACATAAAATATCTTTCGAAGAATTTTTAATATCAATAATGTTTAGTACAACTAGAAAAAAATTCTATTCTAATTATTCTAAAAATTATTAACACAATGCGGTAACTGCATGTTTAATTTCATGTCTTACCGTGTGTTGGGTAGAATTGCTTAATTATTACTTACTCATGCCAGTGTTGCTTAGGAGTACCTGAACACATACACTTGACTACCGGTTCGTGAAAAGGGTTGCGTTTCTTTGAACCGAAAATGAATGAATACAAATTCCTAGCTAAAAATACATAAACAACCGTCATTTGTAGCATTTATACCTTGATTACGAGGCTATTTTTGGAAATGAAATATTAGTTTACCTATTAGTTACACATATTTATGAATTAAGCCGTATAACATCCTATGGTGACAAAGGTATACATTTTTTGAAATATAACGTCCCCAGGTTTTCACAACTTGATAATTTTCCATGCACTACATACCACATTTTTTTAACTACACACACTTGTGTCACTAAATAGTACGCAATGGAAAACGACCTCGTGTGTAATTGGTAGCTAAGAGAAATAATTTTGCTGCACAAATGTGTGCAACTGCGGAGCAAAATATTTTGAAAAATAGTTTGATCGTCAAGTAATAAAACATCGTTCCACAAATGCTTGCACAAAGAATTTTGTTCGCAACGGAATATTTCCCTACATAAACGGGTAGCATAAATAGCTTTTATAACTTGGTGACGTGTTAGGATAAGCTCGAATTTTCATCGGTTTTTAAATTTATGTCTGTATTTAACTCTAATTTACAGTTGGCGCTGGTACATCGGGATGTCTTCTGGCTGGCCGACTGTCCCAATATTTTCGGGTTTTGTTGCTAGAAACGGGCGGAAATCCACCTCCCACCGTAAACACTTTCCTCTGGTCAAATCAATTTAGCACCGACACTCTCATCAATTATCATTTCCAGTCCAAACAGAAACACTATTCACTGAAAACTGGCGGGGTAATCAAAATTTCATAAAGTTTTTCCTCTTCTTCGAACTTTCTTATAATTGTTTTTGACTTATTAGATGTTAAATATCTCGCAAGGAAAAATGATGGGCGGGTCGGGATCCCATAATAAGAACTATTACAATCGCGGCTCACCGTATGACTATGATCAATTTGCAAGCATTACGCAAGACCCGAGTTGGAGCTATCTAAATGTTATTCAGCATTTTAAACGATTTGAAAGCTTTAATGGAATTTTACTCAATGAAAATCAAAGAGGTTATGGATACGACATTTTCTCGATGTATAATATCATCGATAACATGCCTATTTCTCGATAACTTATGAAGAAATTAAAAATTAAGCATTTTCGTCGGTTTTTATGGTACAAGTGGACCCATATCGGTTACTACGTCGAGCGGACCAACGCTTGAAATGTGGTTGGCGGCCGGAAGGGAATTAGGATTCCAGGCGGCAGATCCAAACGCGTTCCAAATAGAAGGTGAACTATTTTAGCTTCCTTGATTTTCAAATCTTGAACTTTTTCAAGAAAAAGTAAAAGTAGGAAATTTCATAAGATTATGAAATTTCCTACTTTTTCATAAAACTCCAGCCTTCTCCCCAATGGCGTTATCGACTAAAAATTCTGCAAGATCCAGTTCTTACACCGGCTTTATTCAAGGTGTGGAAAAGACCAGACGAAATTTGAGAGTGCTGCGATATTCTCAAGTTCAAAAGGTATGCAGTTCTTATTGCGACAAATTCGGGGTAATCCGATCAAGTCCAACCGATCGGATATTGTCGGGTCGGATGTCCCCACACTAATTCTAATCGTAATCTTAACAGCGAATTTAATTTCATACATAAATTGCGGTTATGTAGGTTTTAATTAACGGAAACAAAATCGCATACGGGGTGACATATTTGCGACACGGGATTCCACAAATTGATCACGCTTCAAGAGAAGTCATCATCTCTGCGGGAGCCATACTTTCGCCAGTAATGCTAATGCAATCTGGCATCGGCCCTGCAAAATTGCTTAACTCAGCCAACGTATTTATTTACGGACTTTAATTAATTACTATAATTCTCAGCGCCATGGCATGGCGCTGAATTCCGGACGCTTAACACGGTCTCTTTTTAGATTCCAATAGTCCAAGATCTTCCCGGCGTGGGACAAAACCTTCTGGATCATGCCGACGTACTTTTAAAATTTGAGATTCAAAACCCATCCGCGGCCCAAGCCCTGTATCCAATTTTGTCCGAGACTGCCTTGCAAGATGAGCTTGTCAAGTTCCAGGCACCCCTGAAAACTGGGGCATTTAGTGGGGAAAATGTTCACCAAGCGTTTATCGTGTCGTCCCGAGCAAAACGAGAGAATGAAGGGAACTGGCCGGATTATCATTTGTATTTCCAACTGGACCTTCCAACTGGACTTGAAACTAATACAACAAACGTAAATATGTTAGCATAAAAGCGCCATTCGCTGCAGATCTACTTGTCCGCATGGCAATAAATATAATTGAGAACTAAAGCCTAATACTTAGGACGGATTTTTCACTTGAAAAAGTTTAGAAAAACGACAATAATAAACTAAGAAATAGTTTGCAATTGATTTGCAGAAACACTTTCACTTGGTTACTATGAAGTTAAAGAAGTTCAAGGGGAGGAGTACTTTAATACAAAACAAAGAACCTGTTTCGTTTCGTGCGAAAAATCCGTCCTAAGTATCAGGTTTAAGAAGTGGAAGCAAATGAAAGGTTCGATACCCTATTTATGAATAGCACCTCATGCTATCCTTATCGTCCATCTTTCAAATATTGGTCCTGGAGTAACTCTAACTTCTCAAACCAATTTTTCCGCAAACTTCTTTACCTTTTTAATGATACCAATTCTCCCAAATACCCTGATTAGTGAAGAATTTATAAAATTGGTTACAGATCAATATGCGTGTAGAATTTGGTAGACCAAAATCAAGAGGGTGCATCATTCTGAATACGGAAGCATATGCTGCTGGGGAACTGGACGATGAGAAATTGGTCACCTTTGACTTAGGCACGTTTACAGATCCGACCGATATCGATGTTCTTCTTGAGGGTGGCCATTACTCTATAAAATTTATTAGTAAACATGCTAAGGATGAAGTTAACGTTGCTAATATTACGTTAAATCGTAGGAATTCGCCTGATTTTCAGTATTAGCAAAACTACCGCATTTCAAGCATTGGATCTGAGGTATAAACCGGAAGTTGTGGAACCATGTAAATTCTACCCTTTTGACTCGGACGACTACTGGAAATGCTACATCGTGCAGACAGCAGACACAGCGTGGCATTTGTCCGGTACTTGTATAATGGGAAAAAAGATGATCCACTCGCCGTGGTCGACCCAGAATTGAAGTCAGTTAAAAATGCGAACATTTTTTATATGGACAATTTGTAAATCAGTATTTTCAACTTATGGATTATTTACAGGGTGCTTGGCGTGTCACGATTGCGCGTCGTGGATGCCAGCGTTCTTCCCACTTCGACGAACGCAAATACAAACGCTCCCACGCTACTTGTCGCTGAGAAAGCGGCGTGTCAAATCCTTCGGGATTACCTGGATCCAAATAGTGACCCAAATTTGTGTCCGTTAGATAATCCTGCGTATTTTACCCCTTTTAATAATTAATTTGTGTAGTTGCTAATAAGTATTTTAATAGACAACTAATAATAGAAACCAACTAATAGAAACCGACGGACATACGCATTTGTGTAAAAAAACTGAAATTTCAAGCATTGTGACCGCTTACCACCGTTATTTATTAAACATTCCTTAACAGGTCAGAAAACAGGGTAAACAGTCCAGTTGGATCAAACCACAAATATTCTATAATTACTTATTGCGAAAATAATGGATAGAAATTCCCTAATATTCGCTAAAATCTATAATATATGTTGAAATCAAGAATTGATGCCAAATGTTGCGTTTATCTCAATTCATTTAATATTTATCATGCACAATTTTCGTAATCTCGACAATTGGCTGATTTTGCACAAAAATAAATCCAAATACGGGCACCAAATAGTTACCCTAACGCCGGTAAGGCGCCTTGATACCCGCCTTGTATTACGCCTGTGAGGAAGCCCTGCATTAGGGTGGGCATCGGGGGGATAAAATTGGTCGGTGTGAAGCCCTCCACAGTAACGAGGTCAATGTCCAACCATCCCTCGACGAGGTAGCAAACAGAATAATCCGCATCGAAATATTGGCCATGGTCCAGCAAGGAATACAACGGTCCGAGCGAATTGGAACAGGTGGGATCCTCGTAAACATCTTTGGAGCAAAAAGTCGGGGGAACGTCACCATTGATCCAAACTTCTTGAGTGTGATGCACATAATTGATGCCGAGGAGAATGTCCAAGACACCGAGGGCGCTAACGGGTGGGAGGTGAGGGACTATGTCAGCCCTGTAAATTGATTTGAAAAGAATTCTGTAGATTTTTAGTGTGCAAATTCTAAAAGTTTTACCTAGCGACCACTCTGCTCATTGGAATGGGGAGAGCATTCATATAATCGGCATATCCCACATTTCCCGTCCTTGGTTGACCAAATGTCGCCAAGGAATACTGCGTCCCCGGAAATTGGTTGATACTCGTTAACAGAAATATTAATATAGACGCCATCGCGGCGCCTAAGCTGTGACCGTTTACAACGACATGAAATCCCGGATTTCGAAGAAGCAGAATCCCAACTTCTTCCACAACCTGGAAAAATATCGGGAATTTTTTGTAATAAATTCTAAAATTTCCTAACTAACTCAATAACATATGTAGGTAAATTTTTACTTCGTTGTAAAGCGACATTAAGCTTAAATATAATCCTCTATGAATTTCCACTCCGGAAACTTGTCGGGAGGAGGGTCAGGTCCATGATCCAATTCATAAAGGTGACGCTCCCCCTGAAAGTGACCACAATTTCGCGCAAACTTCTGTGCAACGTGACTAGAGCCTTCGTGCCGTATTCTTCATTCGTAAAAATTGCAAAACCTGTCACTGTGGCGTTGAAATTCCCGCAGTAACAGCACGACAACGTCACCAGCGTGGTCGGGCAGTACATCGAGGCCGAGAAGTAGTTGTAGTAAATGAGTTGTGCGGTGGTCATGGTGATCGTGTTGACCGTTTCGGTCGGCGCGGCGGAGACCGAGGCCGGGCCGTCCAATAAGGCGATAGAGTTGCTAAGTTGAAGGGGAAACTGGGCGAAAATTAGTTCATCGTCGGAGCGCGTGTAGACATCGGCAGAGCCGCAAGTTTGGGCGGATATCCGGGTCAAAGTATGGGTTATTAGTAAGAGGAGGGAAAATATTCTTAGGAACTTTGAAAACATAGTGGAAATAAATATGACATGGAAAAAATTAGTGCGAAATACGTATACAATGAAGAGTGAATGATTATTAAAACTTATTAAAAGTTATTTATATACCTGAAATAATTAGGACACGTATGTGTTCCTCATTTAAATATGTAAATATAGTGATAATTTTAGCGAACTGTTAAAACTTGTTTAATTGCAGTTAAAAATTGAAACTATGTCGGTATGAATGCAAAGTTTGTACAAATTCAAGTTGTTATAAGTATTTGATAACGTGTGGTAGATGTATGTGTACAAACAAAATGAATCACGTAGATATAACATGCACGCTGTGTAATTTCATGACAGATTTGCAATAATTTGCATAGATATTATTATTTGGCACGTACATACATATTTACTTACTTTGCTTAGATATAAATTTAACCATTATCCATTATACATATTCTACATATGTACACTAGTATATATACATATGCATTTAACTAGTTTAATTTTTTATGTACACCACCAGATATCCAGTTTGTGCTGAGTTTATAAATAAGGAGATTTTTCCAAGCATCCAATTGGTGTATTTTTGCAGAGATGAGGGGAAGGGATAGAGATTTCAATAGACTTGGGGAAATTGAGACGTAAAAAATAGCACAAAAATTGTCAGATGCTGAATTGAGGAAAAGTGAATCTTATAAAACTGAATCGCTAATATTAGTGGATTTACTATGCCTCATTCTAGATATGTAGTTGGAACATGCCTACCAAAAACAAGCACAAATTATTTCACACTTGCCCCAATTTATTATTTATTAACGTCAAATTTGTTAAATCAAAGTAACATAGGTCAAAACGAAATTAACGGGAGCAATAAACATAAAATTAACTCATATCACAAAAATAATCAAAAATTCAAAAATATTAAAGCATCCGCAACTAATGTCTGATTTGATCTTCCGGGAAAGTGATCAGCAGTGTAAAGATGTGGTTCGAAATGAAGTAATAGTTGATCAGGATTTCCACCTTTTTCACCGCCTGGATAAACCCCACTTTCACACCGAACGGTCTCAAAGCCGCCAACTCTTTTCGACGCAGCCTGCTCTTCCTTCGAGACACGTGGTGATCGTGAACCAGCGTTTGATGCAGCTTGATCGACTCTTCGTACACTTTGGTCGCAGGGTGCATCGTCACGGACAGGATGACGCAGCAGTTGTAGACCAAAACTGGGAATGGGATGTACTCGAAGAACGAGAGGAAACTGCGGAATCGGATGGAGGCAAATCCGCAAGCAATTATTAAAGCGGCAGGAATCCAGACGAACACGACCGGCTTGAGTAGCCAGGTGAAGGCATTGTTGTAGTAAATCATTAAAATGTGCAGGCGTTGAAAGTTTCGAATTTTTTCGAGTATGGAAATCTTTTGCTTCCTAAATAAAATGATGAGATATTAAGTTACAGCAAAAACCCTTCTATAAAATACGAAGCACTTAATAGGGATATTCTTATGAGTTCGTATCTATAGCAAAAACAAAGTTTCAAAGTTCGCACAAAATAGCTTTAAAATTAATTTCCGAGTTTGTGCATCTTTTAGGCTACAAACTACTATGTACAAAGTGAAAATATTAATTTTTCGAGTTCATATTTCGACGAAATTTAGAATAAAAATACTTTGCGAACTATGCAAATATGTTCGATGCAAAGTCGAAATTCATATTTCGCTCGGATTTTTTTTTTCAAATCAAAATTATGTTGCGATGCGGAGATGCGAACCTCTGAATGAATACCCCGAATGTGTGAAGTAATACCTGGTAAACTTAAGCCAGAACCCGGTACTTAGCAAGACCGGAAATACGGTAAATCCATCCGTGGCCATCATACAAGTTTGAGCAACTTTCGAATAAGCTTCAAATATTAGAAAAAGTAGGAAATGCCAGCTTTGTCTGTTATTCTCTTGTGAAACAAGCGAGTACAGGTACTGCACTCGTGTGGGGATGACGTAGAACATGAGAGTCACGGCGGCATTGTAGATAAAAACGATCCACATAATTACCAAAAAGTTGAGGTCGATAATATTAAATTTCCAGATCAAGTTTTTCATTTGTGCAGTGGGATTTTCTAAAAAATCAGGTATGCATTTAGCTATTTATTAAGTATTCATGTCCAATAGAGGTGAGTTTTTGAAACCCGACCCTCCCGGCCTGAATAATTTCGAAATCGATCGGGTTACCGGGCGGGTCGGGTTTCACCGGGTTGACCTTTAACCCTAGTCACCTCTACTGTATAATACGCATATATGCGAATAATTAGAACTGCAGTATCCTACGCATTGATTAATCGGATACCTTTCTCGAGCGTGGTGGAAAGCTTCTTTAGTCCACGAAACAGCGGGACAACTTCGCCTTTCTTCCTGTACGCGTTGTAACACGTGGTCAAGGACCACTGGAACTGGTTGATCCAAATATATATCCAAGCGACGTCTGGAAAGCTTGGCTTCTCTGTTTGAAGCACTTGGACCAGACGCCACCAGAGGTAAGACACATAGAGCGCCGTGTTACCTGCAGCAATGGCGAAGCAAACCTTTCTCGATGAGCCCCTGCACTCGATGGCACACTCGTTCGTGTCGTTCCATTCGTAAGGATTGCTTCCCAGCAGGGCGTAAGTTTTCATGTAAATTCCAATCAGCTTCAATGTACGTTTGTTGAACATTTTTTCCCGGAGTAGAAATTAAATTGCTGAGTGGATCGTTCGACCTCTAGGGCTGCTAATTATCCATTATTTATGAATATTTAATAATTACTGCATTGTAATTTGAAATGGGTACTATGAACTCCTCGCAGCAAACATGGTTTGTTGGAAATTTGCCTGCATATTTCGAAATCATTTTGGTCGATCGGAGAAGCGATTTTTTGGGCTTGAGAGTTTACTTCCAGTATAAACTAGATATATTTAACAAAGCAACAATATCCACTAGGTCCGACTAATTTAATTATTACGCTGTCAAACTCTGTCACTACATTTCTGAAACTTCTTGCTGGTTTGTAAATATTTACTTGTTTATGATTCCCGACGACTTCCTTATCTACGTAAACATGTGTGACACTTACTAAATTAATAAAACCATAGGAAAGTGGAGCGCTTCATGTAAGTCGCTAGATTTCCTTTAAAAAACAAGAAACATGTCAACTTTCACCCACAAACTTTTAATCTTGGTGTGAAATAAATATGCGAAATATGTACATAGTCGACTATTTGATATTACTTTTCGAAAAGAAATGCGTCGTATAAAAATTTACCGGGTCTTTAATGTTTATTGAGTTATAATTCTGGGTTGTTAAACTACGATGTCTAATTGATAACATGGTGATGTCTAATTAACTTATTTCCTAGCGAAGACCCAGTGTCAACATGGGCTGGGCTGGACATATTTAACTAGAAGGACACGTGGAAAACCCAGCGTCCATAGATATAACGGGTATCAAGTTATGAACATATACATATACTAGCTAATAAGCCCGTCTTCGCCGGGCAATAAATTTCACACTTTGAATGTCTGTCCGCAACGGAAGTAAATTAAATTTGCGTAATTACCATACCACATCTAGAAAGAATCATGATGATGATTGGTTGTGGTAACCGAGAAGTTTTAAAATTGACGCATGTTCAAAGGAGGTTTAATACAATCCCGTTTAATTTACCAGCCCAGTAAACGCACCAGACAAATAATTAAGTTACCGCACCATCCCAGTAAACGCACCAGACAAATAATTAAGTTACCGCACCATCCCAGTAAACGCACCAGACAAATAATTAAGTTACCGCACCATCCCAGTAGCCCATCAAACGCAACAGCCTAGTAAACCCATCAGCCCAGTAAAACCAAAAGCCCAGTAAACCCATCAGCCCAGTAAACCCATCAGCCAAGTATACCAATCAGCCCAGTAAAACCAACAGCCCAGTAAACCCATCAGCCTAGTAAACCCATAAGCCCAGTAAACCCATCAGCCCAGTATACCCATCAGCCCAGTATACCCATCAGCCAAGTAAACCCATCAGCCAAGTAAACCCATCAGCCCAGTAAACCCATCAGCCAAGTATACCAATCAGCCCAGTAAAACCAACAGCCCAGTAAACCCATCAGCCTAGTAAACCCATAAGCCCAGTAAACCCATCAGCCCAGTATACCCATCAGCCAAGTAAACCCATCAGCCTAGTAAAACCATTAGCCCAGTATACCCATCAGCCAAGTAAACCCATCAGCCCAGTAAACCCATCAGCCAAGTAAACCCGTCAGCCCAGGAAACCCATCAGCCTAGTAAACCCATCAGCCCAGTAAAACCATCAGCCCAGTAAAACCAACAGCCCAGTAAATACTAGTGTTTCTCACGGGTCGGGTTCTTGCAAATCCGAAACCCGAACCCGAACCCGGTACCACTGATCCGAAACCCAAGGCCAACCCGAACCCGAAGAACCCATACCCGTTTGCAGGGACCCGAACCCGAACCCGAACTGGCGGTTCAAATCCGAAACCCGAACCCGAAAACCCGAAAATATTTTTAATTTTAAGGCATGGGCTGAATTTGTACTTAAAAATTATTTAAAAGCTTAAAAATCAACAATATTTATATTTCAAAAACTGCCCCAGAGTGGCTTTCCGAGACCTTTAGAAATTTGAAAATCAGTCCAAAATTGGATAATTGTTTCCAGTTTGACGTTTCCAATATTATTACTTACGTAATTAGGTATGATTCAGGTAATTGCATAGCAAAATTAGGATAAAAATTCGATTTCTTTTATAGTTCGCACCATAACACTAATTGAATCAGGCTCTTGTAAATCGTTTACCTTTTTGGAAACCATTGAAATTAAACGAATTTAAGACAACTAGAAATTGGAATTACTTACTTCAGTATTGCAACCGCTGAAGCACATGTAGTTCAACAATTTTTCTAATATCTTTTTGTGATATCGATCCAAAAAAGTTTGATTCGGGTTTCGGGTTCTTAATCCGTACCCGAACCCGACCCGAACCCGAAATTTCGACATGATATTTCTCG